CGCTTGGTGTATAGAAGCCATGCCAATGCAAGATGTATGGCTGGGAGCATTATACTGATGGAACAGCACACTGTTCCTTAACTTTCCTCGGCGTAATAGGCCACTATAATGCTCTGATCCTTTTGCAAATAGTCAGTCAGGATGATTCCTTGAGCACACCAGAACACAGACAACCAAACGTTTCCATCAGACGGCACAACTTTGAATTTGCGTGGAAAAGGACAACCGCGATGTTATCACTCTTTATTTTGCGCTTTGGTCTCGGGATCATAGCGGTGCATCCATGACTCGTCCATGGTAATATACCGACTACTCTTTGTTTGCTTGGTACTTCTCCAAAAGTCGCTCACAAGTCTACACCCGATTTCTTTTTTAATCAATGGTTAACATTCAAGGCACTCATCTTGCACTCATCTTGTTAGTCAGTAAATTTCACATTGTTCATAATGCGTACTCGTGGGTCTTGCAGTACGATATTGTGTAACTTTTTAATGTTTTTGTCTGTTGTTACCGTTATGCTGGTTTTCACAGGATGTTCTTCCGCATTTAAAATCTCGACACCAGTGTTTGACTATATGATAAAAAACTGCAGACTCCCAACAGTTGCTACAATGTCGTTATGAATTTGAGTTGGCGCCATGCCTTTTTTCTGGAGGTATTTTACTACGGCTTTGTTCTGCAGGATCCATTTTTATAAACAATCACGACACACAGTTCAATAATTATCCACAGCACAACAACGCTTTGAGATACAAAAGTTGGTATTTTGTAGATATAATCTACAATAGTCAGTTAACTAACTGTCAAAAACATTGATCAAGACTATAGTCTTCATAATGAATCCACCAATTAGAAATAGGTCAGGAGCGGAGAATAGGGATTCACTTCCGAAAATCATTTCAAATGTTAATCAACTCTACTTTGACAAAAGTCATTTGAAAAATAGAATTTACGCAAAAATAATATTGCTTTGATATTACTGGTGCCATGTTTTGCCTGGGTAGAGTATTTTTCAGCCAAGCATCGTAAAGTTCCTTTAAATTTATTTAAATAATATAACACAAAAGTTAGATTAGGTTCTCTCAATTATTGCTATATTATAATAATGTACGAACAAAAAGCAACAAACAAAATACTATATAGTTAGTTGGTCCTTCGAATAATAAATGTCTTAAAATTAGCTGTACACACACAGCATAATTATTTTAATATTAAACCAAAACATCAACAATCTATTCGTTACTCATCAAAAACTATTCGATAAACATTTTCACAAATATCTGTCCAATCGTCAGTTTTTCCTGGAAAAATGTTTCAATAGAAAACTTCTCAGTGTCCAGTAAATCCAACATCCAGCCATAAACATCGAAATGGCTTCACCCGAGCATAAAAATTCGTTGACTTTCACTGCGGATCGTTTCTAAATGTCACAAAACGACGATCTAAACGAATCAGACGATTCGAATAAAATCGAACGTGGGTGGGCACGGGATCGATAATAATTAGAATCAGTCACCGGCAGGGCTTAATTTCTAACAGAAAGTGCACTGTCAGTTTCAACCCTTTCTGCAGGGTAATCCGGCGCCATTTCACAGTCATTTGTTTTTGAAATCCTTCGACGAACGATGGCCTGTCGAGCATTTTCTGAACGTCGAGAAACCGTATTTATTTTTAAATAACAGACTATAGTGAAGTGAGATTAGTTTTAAAAAATGAACGAAGAAGAAGAAGAAGAAGAAGAAGAAATGAGTGTATATTTCAACGATTGGTAATGAAGGCATAAAACCGGCAGAACAAAATAGCTAAAGAAAAAAATAACTTTTTTAGGATGTCTATACTCTATACAAGACAGACTAAAAAGCTAATTCAAATAGATAGGTACAAAAGGGACAGAAAATTATAAATAATGGCAATGGTAATTTATATAAAGTTTTTCATTTCTTAATGAAAGTGCTACACTTGGTCAGAATGAGTAACACGGCCGAATAAAATGATATTACAGTAATAAACTGTAATGTACATAAGCTAAAAAACAGGGAAATATAGAAACAATAGATATAATAGTCCAAATCTAATGGCCATTTTAAATTCTGCACCCAAAAATTATCTAGAAACAGGCGCCAATGTGTTCGTTGGACTCTGTAAGGAATCCTCCAAAACCTAAATATGGTTGCTTAATATTGTCATGATTTCGTCATTTGACATTTGATGTTATGTATTCCGTCTTGTATCGTTGGCAACCGCTTTAGGCCAATGGTAGTAGGATTATGAATAATATATGGGATTGTTAGATATATTTTGAGAAGATGGTCAGAGGTTTTTAGAATTATCAGTGGGAGTTTAATTTTAAGAAAGATATTAGCGTTTAGAGGGATTTTGATGTTATGAATTACGAAAATGAAAAGATGTTAGAAGTTTTATTTTCATTAAAAGGAAGGATGAATTGGACAGCAGAAAGAAGAGTTTGAGCAAAAGGAGGAGTAGAAGCAAAATAAGAAGACAGAAGAAAACAGCAGGAGGAGACGAGACAGAAAAACAAAATGTAAAGAAAGGCAAGAATTAGAGTAGGAAGCAGATGTACCATGAGAAAGAAGAGAAGCCGAAGATTTAAATAGTGATTCTAAATTGATCCAATAATTATTATTTGATTATTTGTTTTGACATTTTGTAGTGGGTCAAAGGAGTAACAACCCTCAGAATTTTAGAATGGTTTAACCTTTCTAAGGTGGGACCATTAAAATTTATTAAAAATTATGTAGGAATTAAAATAAGTGATTATCCTTGGTCTGGATACATATTACAAATGTCTTAAGATCAATGTCTTTAAAGTAGTCTTAACTGGAAACCATCAGGAAGAAGGAAACGACGTTTCTAAAATGAAAAAATAAGAAAAGCCATAGAAGAACGAAGATTGCTGGAAATCAATGGATGGAAACTACAGACTTATCATATCCATGACGTGATGTAGTCATGATTTGCGACATTCAAGGAAAGGTGGAAAAAGGCTGCAAAGTTGCTAGGGACGTTTTGAGTTACCCTTAAAATCCTACAGCAAACAAACACTTGACAATGATCAGATAGAATTTGCGCCTAATTACCGGTTTTTTACTGGTGACTATCGAGCATATCCTTTATGATTATCCGACGACTTCATCTGAAGATTTCTGTTCGGGGAGGAAAGGCTAACACCGATCCTAAGTGACTCTATGAAGTCATCTCTTCTCTACGTTCTCAAGTGGTCGGTAAGCGAAGAGATGCCTATCCAGCAAGATGCACCATTAGCCCGGTAAGGCTTAAGTGTTATGGGAGAAATCGACATTTTCTACCTGATAATGATAATGATTCTAGGACTACCTAGTTATCACAAGTCAATGAATAAGTAATTATTTAATGTCATTAATGACACTTTATGGCGCAATTTAAACAATTAGTGGATATGAGTACTTTATGATATCAGATAAGGATCTCATACGGAAATGATTAATCAGAAGCACCAAATAAGGAATTATAAGCAGTGTTGAATGCACTTGGGCATGCGATAATTTTAACAACCTTGGAAAAATATCATCACAAGGGATCTCTCGATCTGGCTTGCAGTATACCGTACCCATTCACTATTACATATTGAATTAGAAGTTTTCTTATACCTTGAATTCTCTATATCTGTCCTAGAACCAGCTTTGTATATCTAATTTTCAGCTACTACCATATCCAGCAACAAAATTTTCGTGAGTTCGATCCTTGGTCAGGTAAAGCTTTTTCTTTATTTAATTAAAAAAAAAAAAATAATAGTGCATGGCGGGTTGCGAAATTACTAAATCAATTTAAATTAGTACCCAATCTAAAATAGATATTTGATCGCTTGGTTAATATTCCTTCTAATATTCCTTATTCCTAGTTATCCTACTGTTGATCTTCCTGTTGATCCTCCTGTTGATCTTCCTAATCATTATGCTGTTGATCTTCTTGTTAATTTTGCGTTGATCTTTGTGTTGATCTTCATGTTGACGTTAATGTTGACCTTCTTGTTGTTCGTGTTGATCTTCTGTTGATCTTTCTGTTGATCTTTCTGTTGATAATTCTGCACTTATTCCTGTTAATCTTCCTGTTGATAATATAGAAATCTAGTAAGAAAAATGGTGCTATCATATACGATCTCATTTACTACGACTACCTTTTAAATGCCTACAGCCGCCTTAAGCAACTGTTTGTATGGTCCAGGAAATTACTGAGATGTTGTCATACTGAGATGACATTATTAAGACAATTAAAAAACAATTAAGATATGATAAAAGCAATTCAAAAACACTTAGTACTTTATGGTTAAATAAAAGCTAATAAGCATTTTCTCACTGTCGTTAAAATGTTCCCATGCTGTGTCCTCAAGTCCTCATCGCTGCAAATATCATTTCTTTATCAACATGAGATGAGAAAGTGTTGTTTTGTATTGTTGCCGTAGAAAAATAATATTTCAGTTTTATGGATGGTATTTATTTCTCAAATCAGTATCACGTCTTTTTCGTAAATATTTGTTAATTTGAATGATAAATTACATAGGAAATAACACATAATTCAAGGTCACTCGGATAGTTATAAAAAAAATTAAATCAGATCCAGCGGGCAATAAAAAAGTTATAAATTACAATCAACAAAAATGACTCAACGTTGCCGGCAGACATTACACATAATTATACCGTAAACAGCAATAAACGCGAAGTCGATTTTTGATTATATCCAAACCTATTATTATAAATGTTTCTATTAATTAAACAAAATTACACGTATCCCATATCGAAATTCGTTGATAATTATAAGAAGGATGATTTAAACAGAATCTTTTCTAAACGATCTATTTTATTTCTTCCTACATCGTCATCAATATTTTGAAGCTATAATAAAAAGCAGAAAGATGTAGAACATAATGGCTAAAATGATGTGAATACCTACAAAATTACGGAGCTCATATTATAAGTAAATAAATCAACATGAAGATCAATAAGGAGATAAGTGGGAAGATCAACATAACGATCAACAGGAAGATCAACATAAAGATCAACATGAAGATCAACACTAAGATAAGTAGAAATAAGGAATGTTAAAAGAAATATCAACCAAAAGATCAAAGAAGATCAACAGAAAGTTTAAAAATCGTTAATAAAAACAGAGAAGAAGACTAACACAAACAATGTATGCAAAATTAAAGTTTAGGGGTAGATACGAGACATCTAAGTAGTTCTAAACAACTTAACACTTAACTTTTTTTTTGCATGTTTATTGTTCGTTATCAATGCTCTTATCTCTTTCACGAAAATTGCAGGAAGGTTGTTTAAAAATCGGAAGGTATCAGTTGTGCAGAAGAGCTTATTCTTACTTTGTTGTTACTTTTATCAATAATTTTGTGTATTCAAGTAAAGAATATTCCTCTACGACGATTAGAGGCAGTGCAACTGAAGCAATTAGTGCGTTGGATAGAGGAAGGTTTGTCCCAAGAAGAAGTCGCCACGCGGCTGAATGTGTCTCAGAATGTCGTAAGTCGCGCTTGGAATCGGTATCAAGCAACTGGGTCTGTAGCGTACATACATGGGGGAGGACGAGAACGAGAACGAGCTACTCATGCCCAAAACAGCTTTATAGCGAGAAGAAACCGAACATTTACGGCTTTAAGAATCAACACCTTTAGACAAGCTACTGGACGAGTAATTTCTGATCAAACTATCAGAAGAAGGGGCATGCATGCAACTTAAGAGCTAGACGTCGGGCAACACACCCAAGACTGACGGCGGAGTAGCGTGCATACCGATATCGGTGGGCGGAAGAACACAATTTGAGTCACTGCCTCTTTACCGACGAATCCAGATTTCGTTTGTATACGTATGATGGCTGAATATTGGTATGGCTAGAAAGAGGATAGCGATACAATGAAAATTTAATGGCTTCAACAACTCTTTTTGGTGGTGGATCAGTTTGCGTCTGGAGAGGAATATCTTATAATGGTCGCACTGATTTAGTGGTCTTAACTAATTAGACAATTGAGTGCCACACGATATCGGGACAGGGTTATAGAGCCGATAATTGTACCATTTTTTGGTGCAATAGGTGAACGATTTATTTTTGTTGACGATAATGCTCGTCCTCATCGTGCGAGAATTGTAAACGATCGCATAGAACATCTCGGAATTACAAGAATGGATTGGCCCTGTTCATCAGATATGAATTGTATCGAGCATGTTTGGGCTGAAATGTCCAGGCGATTAAACCGAAGTCAACAGCCTCCCCAAACCTTAGAACAGTTGGGTAATGAGTTGCAGGAAATTTGGGAAACCATACCTCAGCAATTTATCAATAACTTAATATGCCAAATAGAGTGACAGCACTAAGACGAGCCAGGGAAGGTCCAACAAGATAATAATTTTTTATAGTGATTTTGTAAAGTGTTGTTGTTACTTTCTCAATTTTTTTAATTTTCCTGTAATTTTCAGTTAAATGGTTTTTCTTTTCAGTTATACATATAATCAATAAAATATTTTCTATGTTACATGATTTTTTTATTTTATTTTAAATTATTGACAAAAAAAACAAAATTTTAAAATATCCACTTCAATTGTTGAGCAGTGTATTTAATGAATCTCTGATTGTTTATAACCAAGATTCAGTGTAATTTATCCTTATTTTTTATTTTTTTAAAGTGGATTTCAACTTTTAGTTATACTTTATTTAATAGGTAGGTACTATATTGTAACAAGCTATGAAATCATAAAAAATTGTTCAATTTATTTTATTTTCTGATAACTCTTTTAAAGATCAGTAACGCTATTCAACAAATTATGGTTTTATCTAATTAAATCACTCAACTCACTTTTGATAGAAACCTCGTATAAAGAATTCTCTAACCTATTTAGAATTTAAGGATGTTTTTAAGCGTAAATACCTGAGGGTCATTCACAGTAAAAAGTATGAAGGATATTATTTCAAAACAATGCGGGCTTAATTTTAAGTTGTAAAAAGATCGATAAATCAATTTTATAATTGTTTTATTTTCTATTACTTGTTTTTTCCAGTTAGTGCTTTATGTTGTTTTGTTTGGTAGTCTATAAAAACTTTTGCGTCAGTTTAGATTTATGTACTTATACTAAGTGCATATTTGAAAAGTGAAAATTGCCGAGAACGATGGGAAAAAAGTTGAAGCGCATTAATTCAAAGGCGCGTGTTGAAGATTTCTCTTGTTGTCGCTATTGTTAACGTTTTTATAGCATTAATATTTTTTTCTTATTTTCTAATATAAGATGTGTTGTTTCTACAATACTATTATTTACGTGGTATGTTCGAATTTAACCCGCAATTATGTCAAATCTGGTGAAGTATTAGTAAGACTTCATCAAAGTTTCAAGAAAATGCTCAAGTATTTTCTAATATAATCTTAGATATCATAAATACATTATATCTATAAAATGTATACTCATATGAAATCCTCTTTCAGGGTTCTATAATTTCCAACCAATATGCAACGTACTTGCCACATAAATAAAGCTAATGATATTCTGACTAACACATAATATAGCAAATTCAGATGCAGAACAATAGTTCAAAATTCAATGTAAACATAAAAAGTCTTACCTTTCTTCGATTTTAAATATTCCAATTTGAATTTTGAATATTATGCCCCACATTATCTAGCGACACTTTTCTTTTCCTATTAGTTTCTTTTAAAGACCTAACTATAAACAAATCTCCTTTCTTAAATGTACTTTTCTTTCTCCACTCATTCATTATTTAAATATATTTTCTATATTCCTCTGTGACCTCAATATTGACTGTCATATTTTTATTAATTTTTAAACAACAATTTTGACATTTCATAATATAATATGTACCCCATTGCCAGTCATCTAATTTTATAGTTATTTGTAAGTTTGGTGGGCCAAGAATTGACTCTATCTCCAAACTTTCAAACAATCGTTGCTTCGAATCGAGGATCAGACCTTGAATCCTTCTCTGTAGAGGCTAAATGTTATTGCTAGTCCCCAAGAAATAGGCACATAAGGTTATCATAACCAACACGTAAAAGACAAACACAACAAACTTTCCTACTCCAAACAATATTCTATGCTTTAATATTTTTACCTTATTTGACTCAACTTCGAATCAACAAACAACGAACTCTGTATCCAAAACTCATTTCAGAAGTTTCAGGTAACGATCGCGCCAGATTACTTGATGGAAACTTCGCGCCAAAATCAAGTTTACGACGTATTGTATCTGCGGATTTGATTTCGTAGACGGCCGTCATATCGAAATTCAATACACACATTTCGTCAATGTATTTCACGTGCAGAAACGAATCCAATATAAAAAAGGGTAATTTCAATTTAAGCAACTTCCAAACCAGTCAGAAACGAGGTTCAATCAATTTAGGACCCGATGAAAAAAAAAAAGGATTGAGGATAAATGTTTAGCGGTTCCAGGGATTGGCTGAAGGGATATTTAAAAGTAAGTGAAATAAATATTACCTAGATACAATAAACAACATTAGTAAACTTGACTATTTCATATTTCAAACCTTAATTGGCATGGTGGGGTTTCGCGCGACCCCAGACCTTAAATATCGGCTGTAATTTTTCAGGCTAAAAGCCCGTGCGAGTTACATCAATCGATATCTAATTTTTGGGGGTTACGAGAGACCCCAAAAGTAAAAGTTACGTTTTTTTTTTTAAGTTTAACTCAAACAAATCTAGAAGAACTTACTGCAAACCTTAGTAATATCGATGAGCCCAGCGATGACCTAAGTGACTTTGGTGAATTTTCTGAAGAACTTTCGGACAAGGAAAGTAAACATAGTCTGATTCAGAGTCAGAAATATAAATAGAAAGTCAGGAAAAAATCGTAAAGGACGAAATTTTGGATAAAAAAATTGTCATTGGGGAAAATGTGGATGAGGAAATTGTAGAAGGGGAAAATTTTGATGAGGTAGGAAACTATTATTATGGAAAAAACCAGTATAAATGTACAAAAAGGTTCAAAAAAATGTACGAACCCAGCTCACAATTTAGTGATGCATTTACCATGACAAAAAGGGCCTGCTCTAGTAAGAAACCCATCTACGCCTGACGAGGCTTGGCAACTATTTTTCACAGAGGATATACTAATCATCATTTTGGAATATACAAATATAAAGGTAACCGTACTTTCATCCTGCTACCAAGGAAACCGCGTGTCCTTTGTTGAACATTTAGGCCTAGTAGAGTTAAAAGCCTTTCTAAGACCAATTCTACTTGGTAGGAATTTTCAAATCAGGACAAAAATACACAGCCTCATTATTTTTAACCCATGGAAGATCAATTTTTCGGCCTACTATGTCCCAAAAGCAGTTTTATTTCTTTTGAGTGCAATACGATTTGATGACGTTGTAAGTAGAAGGGTCAGAATCGATGAGGGCGACAAATTAGCAGCAGTATCAGAAATTTTCAATGTTTGTGAATTATTGCCAGGAAAATTACACATGCTCTGAATATGGTAAGGTTGATGAGATGTTGGTTGTATTTAGACGTAGGTGTAGCTTTAAAATGAAAAAGAAAAGCAAAATTAAGTGCTTGTGTAACTCCAAGAGCCATTATCTCTTAATGCTTTTGTATACAACGGAAAGAGTAAGAGAAGATAACCCAGAAAGCTTAGCGTTCCTATTCTTGATGTCCTAAATTAAGTAAAACCAATCGAAAATACTAATAGGAACATAACAAGGGACAAATGGTTCACATCAGTTGAACTAATAAATGAACTGAAATCGAGGGGCCTCACTTATGTGGGAACAGATAAAAAAAAATAAGAGAGAGAAGTACCACCTCGGTTTCTACCAAACAAGCAACGAGAAGCAAATACATTGATTTGTAGGTTCACGAAAAACCATATTATGTTGGGCATGGAGTCATAATGCCTATAACGGCCCTTCTAATCCTATCTTCTGAAAGAAGTGTAGGATTTGGAGTGGCTTTAAGTTAGGTAAGTGAATATCCCTCTTTTATTGAATATGCTCTTAGGTATTATAGTGCCCTTTGAGTCTGGAGTACTACACATTCAGTT